TGGCTGACAGACTTGCAGATATGCGGACAACAGCACAACAGGCGCTGACCATATAAACGGCAACCACAATGGCAATAGCACTCTCGCTGCGAACAAGTTAGTAATGCAACATTTCATGCAGACCAAAACAGTGGCAATATTCACTCAGCAGAGCCACAGTGGCAATGACAGCAAAGCGTAAGCTGCACCATTGGTGCCCCAACTCGTATTTGGCGTTGTTGGGCTGGGCACAGCTGCCGCAGCTGCTGGTGCGCCGGTTCAACGAGGCGTATGAATTTCCGTTTTATTAACGTAACTATATTTGTGTTTTGGTTGTTGCTGTTATTGTTAATGCTTAAAATGATTTTGCCGCGTAGTGACTCTGCTCTCAACTGCTGCACAGAGGAGCCAGCGATAACTATTAGCTGAAATTAGCAGCAGTTTGCAATCATAATCTCGCATGCGAAAAATTATTACATACAGATTTACATGTGTACATTAGGGTGGTCCAAAAATTCATGTGAAAAAGTAAAGTCGGAATTTTTATGCTCTCACCCCCTATACTGAAAAAATACCCCTATGTTTTAGTTAATGTGAAATCAAAAAATAGTTAGAGGACGCTCAAAGCGCTCAAAGTTTCCCATGTATTTTATATGGGGAATAAACCACTTTTCGTAGAAATGGCATAGAATGCTTGAAAAGCAATATAATTCGATCGGAAAACCTTGTTTCTCTTCAGGAGATTCCCAATAATAATACCAAATTATTTATTTAACAATTTTTTCATAGGAACTATATTTTTTTTAGGTGCACTAAAGCCCCCAGAAAATGCCAGAAAATGCAATTGGGGGGCTAAATAAAAAATATTTAGTATTAAGAAATGGTTCAATAAACGATTGGGTATTATTATTTTTAAGTCTCCTGAAGAGAACCAGAGTTCTATTGAAAAATATTGATTTTCAAGAATTTTATAGCATTTCTCCGAAAGTTTTTTTTTTCATATAAAATACGTGGAAAATTTGAGCGCTTTGAGCAACCACTAAATATTTTTTGATTTCAGAATTAAATAAGTACAAAAGTCTGAGTTCGGGCGAAGCCGCACATTAAATACCCGGCGTAAGTTATAAATTCAGTTTTTTTACTTTTCCAAAAAATACCGTTAGTTGGTAAGCAGGGGTGGTTTTACCGCTAAATTACCGTTATATGGGATGTGGGCGTGGTCATTGTCCGATTTTAAAAATTTTCAGCCCTTTGGTATGTTTTACCCAGAGCAACAACTGTGCCAAGTTAAGAGAAATTGGTTGAGCGGTTCCCAAGTGCGATCGGGTATAAAAATAGGGGTACTTTTTTTGCGATATAGAACAATCCTAGACGGTGAGATCATTAAAATTCCGACTTTACTTGTTTTGGACCACCCTAGTGTAGATATATGCATATGCATGCGTGTTGTATACATTTGTGTTTTAGACGCTGTTATTGATTAGATCGTTAATATGATGGCAGGTGATTTTTTTGGGGCTCCAAGTATTTACATTAGGGTGGTTTACAAAAAAAGAAGGAAATTCGAAGTCTTAATGCTACCACACCCTAGGATTGTTCTACACTGAAACAGATCTACCCCGCCATTTTTATTTGAATAAAAAATGTTTAGGGTGCACAAAACGCTTAAAATTTTCCATGTATGTATTTTATATAGGAAAAGAACAATTTTTCGTAGAAATGGTTAATAATTCTCGAAAATCTCTAACTTTCGATCGGAAAACTCTGTTTTGGAACCATTTTTCAATATTGACTATCTTTATAGCTACCACAAAATCCCAAAAAAATGGGCCTT